TATACATACTACTCATTTATATATATATTTCATATTATATACACTATATATATTTCCTTATGTACACTACTTGTTTTTATTACGTGCACACGCGTGCACACATACACAGAGACTTAAAAGGCAGACCTATGTAAGGTTATAGTGATATTATTATTGTTGCTTAGTTTCCTTCCTTTCATAAGGTTAACATCTTAAATGATTGGTCCAGATAATAACAAAATAATTGTTCTACTTAAATATCTTCTTGTTTTTCTCCCCTTGTTGGATTTTAGGAACTGCTTTGTGCTTTAGAAAAACAATAACATACAAGATTATGCTTCTTCTCATTGTGTTTTGACTGACCAGTATTATTGGGTAGCTTACTTTTTAAATCCTCTCCTTACCAACTGACTGAATTCTATTTAGAATGCATTTTTAAGGAATATTCAGACTTACATCAAATTTTTTCTGGACTAAAACTACTTTTGTGTTGTTTTATTCTTGTCACTGCATAGCGTGTCTCCCTCTATAGGTTAAAAATAGGCAATTGTACTCATTTTATTGGTTGGATAGAAGAACTTCTATTTTCAGAAGTCAAAAGCCAAACATCCTTTGCCTTAGGCTGCTAATCTTTATCTGAGGACCTCTAAGATATAATCAATAGGTATTACTGAAACAGTACTAAACATAAAGATCTGTCTAGTGAGAAGAAGGGATATAATATTTTCTAAATTTCGAGTCCATGTACAAAAAATCCAATATTATATTTATTGCTCAAAAATTAATATTCTTTAATAGTTTGTTTAGTTTCTCCAAAACATATACTTCTATGGTGGGTCTGAAGCCTAACCTAATTTGAAGGATGATTTTAAAGGGGTATAAGAAGGTCCCTGGACTCAGAAAAAGAAATCCTATATTTATTCCCAGCTCTGCCTCTAAATAGCATTTTCTCTCACTAGGTCTTAGTTCTCTCATCTTTAAAATAGAGAAGTTTAAACTTTCTCCGACTTACATTTTTACACAAGAATCCTCAATTTGAAAAATGATTAAATTAAGGGCTTAAAAATATAGCAATTAGAAACATATTGAAAATTGCTATTGTAAAGACATGACAAGGTTTCATGAAATGGCTTTCCTTTAGATAACGTTGTTTAAAAATGATGCTTAAAATGACTAATTCCTCCCAAAGAGACATGGCTATAATTCGAAAGCAGGACAAAACAGCACCATACAGGTACGGCTTGGGCATCTCTCACTCTCTGCTGCCCTCTCCTGTTTCAACACACTCTTTAGCTGTGTTATTCACCACCTGCTAAGGACCTGTGCAGGTGAGCCTTGGCTCTCGGTAATATAGGGATTCCTAAACATATCCTGTCACTACTGTTTGAAACAAAACCGTAAATGAAATGAAAACAAAACCGTTCAAGAAAAGCTGATATATCATCAATGTCCTCCTCCTCTACCAGTTTTTAAATTAACTTTAGGAAGAACAAAAAAAGTCAGGCATGAGTAGGGTTTTAGAAAGAAACAGCTGGTGAGATACTTATAACTTGCGGAGAGCTCTGTTCTTTATCTAACTTCTCTCCTTGAATTCCTGCAACAGCACAAGAATTAGGTCCTCAAATCTCCATTCTTTAAATGAGAAGATAAAGCAAATGAGAGAGACAGGGTTTGCACTCAAGCTCCAAATGTCATGCACTATCTTTTTGTTATATCACACTGAAGAACAAAATAGCTATATATAGTAAGGTTCTTTTATAAATGTACTTATACTTGGCAGCTTTAGGTTTTAAAAATTTTTCAATCATTTTACAGCTATGTATTTACCTCTTATGTGCAGCAACTAAAATGCTTTAACCCTAGTGATATAAAAACAAACTTGTCAAATGGAATAATCTCAAAGGGGGAAAGGGCATTCTAAGTTCTTGGGAAGAAAGCTTTGGAACACAGTGTGCCATAGGTAGACAGTCAAAGTTCTTAACTCTTCTTTTTAAGAAATCGAAGAGTATTGATCTATGGAAAAGTTATAGTTAATTTTTTTCCTTCAAAAAGCTATGACTCAAAAGTAAGTTCTTAGATTTTGAAAATAATCCTGAATAATAGTTTGTCATCCATATCACAAAGGCACCGATGTCTGTGGTGTGGTGAGAGGAAGAGACAGAGTAAGGAAGAACAGGAGGCCCCATTTTTTGACAGGCACAAAGAAAATGTTTCCATCTTGACAGTTTTTTGGGGGGGGCTCCATAATTTTTACTCTTATAACCTTGCAATTTTTTCTTTCATTCTTGCCTTTCTTTCTTTCATCTTTCTGGCCTTTCTTTCCATCACTCCCAGTTCTACATACATAGTGGGTCCTAGAAACAAAACGAAATTAAAGCAAAACAAAATAAAAAATTATGTATTGAGTGCTTACTCTGTGAAGCACTGTGTTAAAAGCAGCCCACATGTGAACTCATTTAATTTAGCAATAACTATATGATGTATGATCACAATTTTATAAATGAGGAAACAGAGAAAGGGTGTGTAACCTGCTCAGGACCACACACGTATCATGATAGAGAATAGTTTGAATTCTAGACAGGCAGAGCACCCACACTGCACGAGTCCAGGGGTACCCCAGGATATTCCCTGAAGTCACCTTCCAGGGGCGCCCTGAATCTGTGCACCCCAGCAGCATTTTAGATGAGTCACAATCTTAACCATGCTACACTGTTCCTCTAGACCCTAACCAAAATTTCTAAGAAGGCCAAGTTCATCCAGAAAGGTGCTCCACTGAATTTCTTAAACACTCTTCTCCGCCCTCCCCAGGACTACTGCAGGAGTATAGGTGGGTTCCAACAATAGGGGGTGTAAACTTGGAGGTAGGACCTGAATAGTCAGCTGCCGAAGGAAGGAATTCACAAGTATCACCTTTACTGTGTGTCTCAAGTCTTTCATTAAAGCCTCAACCACAACTATTGACATTACTTATGTTTTTAAGGGCCCACTTTTTCAGAATGAGCTCTGAGAAGGGAAACTTCTCTTGAGGTTGCCCTCATTCCCTCACCCCTGCATTCCACTTTCCCACCTTGGTTTACTATGCTTGGTTAAGGAAAATGACTTTCATTTTTCTAGTCAGTTAATTTCCTGTTGTGCTTTGTGATAAACACAGCTGCACTAAGCAGTTAATGACAGTTAATTAGTTTTCCTTTCTAGATAAGATATTTCTGTAGCCCCACTGTCTCTAGGCCCCAGGTCAGGAGCTTGTGGGTAAAAATGAGGCCATGTTAGCCTTAATTCCCAGATTTCAATAACTCCCTCTGGTATTGCTCCCATGCCTCGATACTATGTGAACATTTCAGGAACTCCTGTAGAATCTCTGACATGTGTTCAAGACTAAGTCTGTGCCCTTTGAGTGCAGCTATTCTCTCCTTAATCAGTGTTAGGCAACTGCCAGGGTGGCTGGACAGCTGCCCTGACCACTGAGTACCCACTATCTCTTGTTGGACACATCATCCTCTGGGAGGTTGCTCCCGTGGGGTTGGCTCATCTGTGACCTCAAGCTACAAAGGGCTTCAGGGACCAAAATAGCACTGCATTCTTCTTAAACCGCAATGTCAGATTCTTGCTTATTGCAAAAATAGTCAGGGGTAGCAAGAGGGTTTGCCCCTCTTCATAAAGGTCAGACCTAGTGCCCTAATTAGGGCTGGGGACAAGGTTCCATGTGGTCTCTAAAGGCCCCAGGCACATGCTCACGCAAGGCAGCTTGCTCATTCCTCAATATAGTTAGGAAAGAATGTATAATCAAAGGAGTTTAATTCCACACCTCAATCTCAGTTTAGGCAAATTGACATTGAGTTTGGGTTTCTTGAGAAGAAATATGGTACCCAAAGAACTCTGGTATTCAGAAATTTCCACTTATTGTTCATCTCCTGAAGAATGTCAAGAACACTGGTGAACCAGACACAGACTATGAATTGACAGTTGAAAATCATCACCAATAAAATCTTGAAAGATAAACACAGAAAAGAAAACTGACAATTTAATATTCACTAAAACACAAGTCTTATTAAAAAAAAAAAGTTCAGGAAAAAACAACTTAACAAGTGTTCCAGACTCAACTCTGATGTAGCAATCACCAAGGAGATGAGTGGAAAAGTACCCACTGGATGTGATGAAGTTAACTTACAAGTAAAGTGTACTCACTATAACTTAATAAGGCGCTACTCAACATATTATGAGTTGGAGTCCATGGAACACATCTTCAATTAAATAAAATATTGGTCTATTTTAGAGAATATGTTAATTTTCTTCTGGTAATAATTTTAGAGAGCAGGTTTTCTTTTCTAGGCAATTATTTTAATGACTCCGTTGGGGTTTCAATAAATGACTAAATGAATTCAATTTGATTTCAGTTTCAGCAAAATGAGATAATTTGTTCTGTTTTTGGTCCAGCTGAGGTCAAGTCCCATGGAAGTCCCAAGTCCCAGGAATCAGGATAATTTTATTTGTTTGACCTTTACTTCCCTCAGCCTTCCTTTTATTTCTCTTCCCCAACATCTGTTCTTTTGATCTCATTGAACTTTTCTGTATTGTATAATTGTTTCTTCTATCCCCTCTCAAAATGAATTTATTCTCAACTCTCTGGCTCCAAATCAGGACTATTGCAAGGGTGTTCCTTCCTACACACAACTGGGATAATGATTAACCAAGAATGTATCTTTTATTTATGCTTTTGCTTTCATTAAACCAAGCTACGATATATTAATATCATTCTGATAAAAATAGCTCTCAAAATACTAATGCCCAGAGCAATGCTAAACTTAGTACAAACATAAATTTAAATGGTTCAAAAAGTGGTATATCAATAAAGGTTTTCCATGTAATAGCTGAAATGGACAACTTGTGAGATAAATAAGAGAAATAATATAGAGAAGAAAGAAAGAATTATTTTAAAAAATTACGATTGCATTATAAAACTGGTGTTATTATCTTGTCCAATCTTAGAAGACATAGTTGCTTCCTGGACAGATCTTTCTTACCTGTTATAGTGGCTTTGTTAATTGACGGTTGGTTGCACATGGGTGATCTTCTGAAAAAGAGAGGAAAATACAAAGCAGTAAATATGGGGCACTTGTTGATTTGAGGACTCTCTGAGTCACTTCAGATATACTACTTTAATTTAAAAGATTATTTTTAAGTTAGGACATGCAAATAAAGATTTCTTTCAGTCTAGCCAGTCAAGTTTCAGGGCATCCACCACATACTAGAGCTCAGATCACACATGTCAAAATAAATAAAATCAATCAATCAATCAATCAATCAATCTCTAGTGACAGACTTTGGGATAAATAAAAGCTGATATAAATGTCATAGAGACATAGAAGAGGAAGTTCTTATTGATTGACTATTCAGTTAAGCCAGGGCTTACAGAGGAAACACAGACTCTCTGAATTTGAAAAAAGCAGTCAATTCACAATAGGTTTCCCTAATACAGTGTTAAGAAGCTTTTACTTTTGGCATAAATCTTCATGATTGCCCGTATATTATCAGATCTGAATGAATCCTTATAAACTATATTTCAATTAGAGAAGCTATTTACACTTTTTCTTTTCTATTTTCTTATATTGAGAAGGATCTCTGATACATTTATTAGAGAGGTATATTAATTACTTGTCCAAATAGATGCTATAGAGACTTTAGAAATACTATAAGCTAAAGGTACATAAATAAATTCTATCCTGTATTCTCTAATTTTTCATGTTTGGCAAGTTCCACAGATTATTATAAATCCCTGAGGTAAATAAAAATGCTATATGATTAATTTGTATTTTCTACAGAATCCAGCAGCATGTATCTAGTATTCAATCAATGCTTAATAAATGATGTTGAAAAGAATATTATTTCTGGAATTCCCATTACAAGTTTTTGAAATATGACTTTATAAAGTTGTTACATACAACTGGAGGCTTTTAAAATATAATGATTTAATTTTTTTTTTTTTTTTTAAATTTCAAGGATATCTACAATTTTCTTTTTGGTACTTCTGTTAGTGGCTAACTCATAATTAGCACTTATTATGTGTCAGACATTATGTTAAATGAGCACTTTAATGTTGTGAGAACAAGAAACCTCAAGGCAGATAGTCTCATTGTTCTCATTTTGCCAAGGTTGAAAACAAAGATTTGGAAAGTTGAATCACTTGTAGAAAGTTAGAAGGCTGAGATTTGAACTAAAGGATTGTGATTCTAGGGCCTGCTCTGCTATGCTGTCTTATTTTTAGGATGCTTTTGTGGAAGCTAAATGAACAGCCACACATCTTTGCAGATGGCAAGCTCTCATAGAGTCCTGTTCAAATCTGCCTTCCCGAGATAACGAATCTCTTAGCAGGGCTGGGATATACATAGGGAAAGGAGTCTGGTACTTTTAAAATTCTCACTGCCTTGGTTCCAGACAGAATTTGGCTCTGCTCTTCAGTTTACTGATGTCAGGTTGGAATTGAAATTCTGTGTTTGATTGCACCAAAATTTACTTCTGAATTATTTTGGTTTTTATTATAAAATAAAATAGAGGAAATTGAAACTCGATTAATGCTAAATAAAACAGAAGGATTAGTGTTTTAAACTGCTACTCTGATATAGCTCTGGTCAATATATTTTATCTTCTTGCTAAAAGTTTATTATTCAAATAATTTATATATTAGTTTCTCTTTTTTAGTCCTTGCTCTGTGAAAATTTAGAGAGTATTGATTTTGTCTGGGAAAAGTATCAAATGAATATTTTAAAACTTTTCTTCAATTTTAGAAAACCAAACCATTGACTCATTACTTGTTATCTTTTCTACTACCAATCCTGCAAATGGCAATTGGAGATTTGATATTTCAACAAGTAATGATAAGCAGGGAATATAAAATGTTTGGTCCATGATTACAGTGACAAATCATTTAATAAAGAATAAACCAGAACTCATTTCTGGGATGAAAGTCTCAAGGGCAAGAAAGAGCAATGTGATAGGGACCAGTAATGGGTTAATAAAAGTCAGCCATGTGCATCTGAGTAAGCACAGGGGTCAAATGAATTTTCCCTGGATTTTTTTCTTCTAGAATATAAAAAGGTGGATTGCACAAAGTAGCACATGCCTTCCACAAAATCCAAGGGTGAACTTGGAAGTGTTTCAGTGGATCTGTGAGCGCCCAGCTGGGAAATTCTGATTCTCTTAGAGGCATTATGTAGTGAGCCAGAGTCATATCCACTTTGCTATCACTGAATAGAATAGAGCTTAGCTATATGTAGATTGAATCCTACTATTCTGATACCCAAGGAGGCTTATTTGGTTTGCAGCAGTAAAATAGATACAAAACTGTATTGACCAAAAGAGAGACCACAGAAGCTTTTACGTAGAGTCTATCAGATAATATTGTTTGGATAGTATAATGTATAATGTCACCCTGGGCATTACACTATAAGTCAAGATCAAGCATAAACTATAATTTTATATCCTCTAGCTGATCTTTTCCATTTTAATCTGTTTTGTCTCTATTCGTCATTTGACAATTTCTGTCTTGCATAGAATGGGCCTCATCTCTTTAGAAACAGAACGTAGGTCTGCTGCCTTCACATGCCTTCACACCTGTCTGATCAACTGTTTGCCAATATTAAGGCAATGCTCTTAATATTGATTTAAAGAATTTTTTTCTTCTGGAAAATTCTTTAGAGTTGATTTTTTAATGATAACATTTTATTGTTAATAATAGATTGTCAAAATAATGAGCATTTGAATAACTAATCAGTTTTCCATGGAATCTTAGAAAATTATTTCCTCTTTTTAGATATTTCACCTCTATTAAAACCCCCAAATTATAATCATTTTCTATCTCAGCTTTCCTTCTTTCAAATGCTTCCCCTGTTATCACATAAATTACAATTTTATTTTCTCCATAATGCTGCTGATCTGAGGGTAAGTACCAGCAGAAAAATCAATCTTTGCTATGATGTGGTGCTACTCTAAGTAACCCTTGTCTTAGAATTAAGAGGATGATTTTGGATTGACATTAAGGCTTGATGAGATTATTTATCCATAGTTAATTTATGAGTAAGCCCAAACTATAAAGTTATTTACCCTCACTGTAAATAACTGGGCAGAGGGCTCATTATGCTAGGTGATTTTTGACACCGTATTTATTTGTCATACTGCTTTATTTCTGATCTTAGAACCATCATTACAAAGTATTGATAGAAAATTAACAGGACATCATATGACTTAGTGTAAATGGTTAGGGAATAAGGCAAGGACTCAGAAATCTAATATATTGCCTTGAATTCAATCAAATTGAGAAAACATTGTATTAAAAGTTCAACAAGAAGGAAAGGAAAGAGGATAACTTACTTGCTAGGTGCTCGATCTTGCAAATTAGTTAATGCAGCAAAGTTGTTTCGTACAGTTCGCAGGCTGGCCAAGACCTATTGACAAAAAGGATTCTTTTAACTTTTTGAACTTGGGCCAACTTTAAAATAATTCAAAATGGCTTCGTGATCTTAAAAAATGCTTTAAGTGAAGACTTGATATTGCTTGCAACTTAATTTCATATAACACTAAAGAATCTCCCAGTATTTAGTGACGTTTACATGTACCTGTTTGAAATCCTGAGGGGCCGGCCTGCAAGGATTTTCCAGATACTTCTCATTGTCTGTGAATATTGTGGCAGTAGCAGCAGTTTCTACACTATTCCTGTATTCCTCAGCCACAAAACAATATCCCAGGCAATACATATCCAGCATTGTTGCATTTTATGCAAATTTAAAATAGGATAACATAAAATATCACTAAAGTCTCACCTCAGAGGTAAAAATCGCCCCAAAATTATCTTTAAAAATTCACCAAGAATGTCAGAATTTCAAAATAAGCAAGCTAAGTAAATTAAAAAAAAAAAAATTATTTCACCTCTGCTACATGGCTATACTAGCTAGTAAAGAAATTCTTTTCTTTGTTAATGTTATCTGAATCATGAGTTATAAGGTTCTCAGGGATTCATGTCTCACATAAAATGGGACCACCCTGTAGATGTACACAGTGCCTGACCCACGGAAGATACTCAATAAAAATTTATTGAATAAATGACAACATATCCACACACACCAGGCAGAACCAATAGGACCCCCTATCTCTGATAGCCCTTCCTTTCTCAAATTCTAGTGAAATAGAAAGTGGCAAAAGAATCAGCAAGTGAGACTAGTAGAGAAAAGTTACAAGAGCTTTAGCCCCCTCACATTCTCCTAGAATGAGCAAGTTTCCTCTGGGGTGGAGCCTATATTAGGTGAGATTATAGGTAATCTGGGTGACATCCAGAATGTTAAATTTTTCTAAAACACAAATTTCAAATGTCTTGTTAGATACTACATAACAACCCAGATTATCTGGCTCTGCTATATCTTCAATGTGTGAATTTAGACAAGTTGTATTTAATTTCTTTGTACCTCAGTTTCCTCATCTGTAAACTGAGATATCTACCTCAAAGAGTTGTTGTGAAGATAATATGAAATGATAAGTTAGGTGCCAAGAACAGTGCCTGAGAAATAGAAAGCACTCGGTGAATATTAGCCCATTATAGTAACATTCCATTTGATTAATGATTTGGCATGAGCTTAAGGAATTTACAAAGGCCTATCACTGGTAACATAACGGGGTGCCAAATTTTTAATTGGTCCAAGTTTTCCAGAATTGTTCTGAGAATTTTTCATCTGGCACTCACCTAGGCGAAAGTCAGTCTAAATATTTTCTAAGAAATTCTAAAAAAAAAAAAAAATGTCTGAGACATTGAAATTGGCATTAATTCTTTAAGTCACTGAGGTGCTATTTATGCCTGGGGACAATGACCTATAGCATTATCCTCTGAAGGAGTTAATGGTGCTGCCTAAGGTGCCAACTATGATTAACTCGGTCACTGGAAAAACCTGGCTCATTACCACATATAAACAACTCACAGCGATGAAAGGTCACACTGCCTATAACAGAGTATTCAACTAGCCAACAGCTGACATCAGACCATGATGTCTTTCATTAGGCATGAAATCTTGAATGATGCAGAAATAAATCTGATAAATGATACACTGTCATTATATCATGCAGGCTTAATTTATGCTTTAAGAATTGAATATCAAATACACTAATAAAGAATTTTAAATGAGATTACTTCACTCCCTAACTGCTCCTTTTGCCTAGGCAATATTTTAACCTAAGATTTCTGAGACTTTCATTCCAATAAAAGTCTGCATTTGACAGTTGGATAAAGAGAAATTGCACTGCAGGTAATTCATGTTCAATGCTCATTTAAAAGTAAACATTAGTTCATAAAAGATATACTACAATTGTTTTTCTGTAAAAATATTTTTGACTCTGTTATAATAATAAGTATATTTTTTTGTTTTGGTTTTTAATTTAATACATTTATTTTTTCATAATCTATATCTTTAAATGGTGTACAATTTAAAGAGAAAAGAGAAGAAGGTAAAATGTCTCCCTCTCAATAATAAAGACAAAAATCAAAATTATTGTTACTTTCTGAGAGGAGGCAGGTAGATGAAACTGGGGAGGGACACTCAGGGGCATTAAAAATATTGGTAGGGTTCTATTTATTAATCTGTTGATTTTAGTATTATTATTTATATTTTACATAACCAGTAGAAGATTCTCTTATGTGCATAAAATATTTCAAAATAAAAAGTGAAAAAATAATTTTCCCTGTCCGTCCCTCCTCTGGGCATTCAGGTACCTATCTGCTCTACTAACTGACTTTTAGGTTGACTTAAATTTTGCCTTTGCAAACACTGCTGCAGTAAATAACCTATTAGATATATCATTCCCTATGTGTGCAAATATTAGATCACTGTTTTTGTGGTGGGACAAATAATACTTTATAAATTTTATGTTAAGCATTAATTCTTATCTTCTGTACTATGACACATATGATATTGGCAGAAGTGTAAATAAAAGTTCCAAACAAATATTATAAGTGGGCATTGCCCTATGCCTAGTTGATTAATCCAAGATGTCCCCAACATAAATGCACTGTTAATCTTTTACGTTTTCACTTGTACTGCAGGACCAAAGAGTGAGGCATCTGCGACTGTAGGCCGTGGGGGAGAGATGGAAACAGTTTTACGCAGCCCCTAAGTTAGGGTTCAAATATTCTTTTGCTTTTGTTCTAGGGCAGTTCTCACTCCCCTTGAATTCGACCCTTTAAGAACTGTCATTAGAGTTTTAATGCTTTTGTAATTCTCTTCACTCTTTAAAGCTTGGTAACAAAAAGGTCCCTGAGATTTTCTCTCACACAGCCTAATGGTTAAAAATTAAGGTCATTTCTTTTTCTTCTGCCCCTTCAAGCGAAAGTGCAATCAGTCAATGTCAAAAATACATTGGGAATGATGAGGTATTTAGGAAGGAGATTATAATAGTGCTATGGAAAAATTTTGCACTGAGATGGATCATGTACTAGCCCATGAGAGGGATTAAATGTTATTTCCATACACTAATCTCAGATTTTCTTAGGTATTTCTAAACATTTATTAACCAAAAAGATTCACTGAAAACAGAGAAAAATATGGGCTTCATTAAGTTAAACAACTGAACATAATAACCTAAAAGAAATGTATACTTGTATAATATGATTTCTTAAAAAGATTTAAAGAGGATATTTCTTTAAAAAAAAAGGTATGACAATAAAGTTCTTATTAAAACTCCTGCTAAAAAATAATGAAGAAATGATTTTGAGAATTGTTTTTCATTCCAAATACTCTTTATGTCACTAGATGGTGCTAAAACACAGACCGTGAGTTAGCACTGGCCTTGGGAGGCGTGGGAAAGAGGAGAATTCCTTTCCCTGATTTTACCTCCAGAACAAACAAACAAACAAACAAACTGGCGTCAAATTATGATTATTCACAAGATAGTAAGGTTATTTTGATAGAAAAGAATGCCTCTTTCCAAGTTACATTTTGGTTAAACCATGTAAAATTGCTGTTTTTATGTCAACAAAGGTTGTTATTGATTTCTAGATTCCTAGAAGATGCTAGTTGTAATTTTTTTTTTTTTAATGAATGATAAAGAATAACTAAAATATAGAAGCAACTGAAATGTGATAATTATCTTCTTTCATAGCCTGGCAGAGAGAGCCTGGTGGATTCAGTGAGTTGGGGACTGTGATTGAGGCTACAAAATGGCTGCTGCTAGGTGAAGTGGGGAAGGGACAGGCAGGGGCATTAAAAAATATCGGCAATGTTCTGCTACCAATGGGAGCAGTGTTCTACAGTGTTCATAACAATGACATTTTTCATAAAATTATCCCAGCTGCTGTATTTTGGTCAGGGTAAAGTGACTCAGTTGTTCCTACTCCGGATTTTTAAATCAGGCATATCTCCTTGGTCTAAATGATGTGAGGATCTCTCCAGGGATTCAAGATCATATTTGGGTATTTTCTGTCTTTTCCTTAATCAAAGATACAACTTCTTTCAACATTCCATACTTCAAGATGAGAATTCTAATCAATTTCAAATAACGGGACTGGTGGGGCCAGAGGCTGCTGAGTACAAAGCAGGGTTTTCTACATTTCATCAGCATTGTGTCTCCTTGGTGTTCCTTGGTCCCCCACAAGACCTCTGGCCAAATTGTGCCACACTCTTGGGAGGAAAGGCCAGTTGCCGAGAGGCACGACAAGGCGCAGAACTGAGATCCCTCTCAGCTCTTAGCCCTCGTGACTAAGGAAATCCCCACACCACAAGATTTCAGCACGAACATCGGAGAATATTTCAAACTGAAAAGAAATCAAATATTTAAAGTTGTCACTTTTTCTGAAGATAAAGAGGATCTTGAGCTTATAGGGAGACGCATGAGAAATTGAAAGTGGAAAAGAGTTTAGGTTTATTATCAGCAAAATTTTCTAACCCTGACAGTGTGGTAGACACAAGAATAGAGAAGATGGAAGGGTCGTGCAGAATCGTTTCTGAAGATTATGCCCATCCGAGATGTTTTAGGGTTCAGTCCTGTCCCTCAAAGTGAAATATATCCTTGCATGACTCCCTAAATTCTCTTATAACGTACGAGTTTGTTCTCTTAGCTTCACAGGAAACCATGACTGGGAAAAAACAGGAATCCTCTCAGTTTTAGAGATGCACTCAGGCATAAAGAAGTGAGTTCTCAAGGAGAGGCAGAAGATAAGATGGGTTTGAGAGAAAACCTTGGTCACTTCAGACATCGGGGAACCCAGTTTTAAGAATTATGGTAAAGAAAATATGCACAGAAAAATAAGCCTAAAGGGATATAAAGTAAAATGTTAATACTAGTTATTTGGGGGTTTGGAATTATGGGAAATTTTCTTTTTCTTTCTTTTGTTTATATTTCTTTTCTAAACTTTTAATGCAAAAAGGTTTATTTTGAAGGCAGAATGGCTTTTTCACCAGAAGAATTTAATGTAAAATTCCAGACCACAAAGTATGCTGGGGAAAGGGAAGAATTCTTCAGCCTATCTGAGCATGTCCCCGAGTGACTTGTCTAAAATCGACTGCCTTCTGTCCATTGGTGAAGCAATTATGGTATATTAGGCTGACTAATGTTGACATCACTTCAAGTGACACGCACATCTTATATTTTAAGCTTAATAATATTTAGCACTAAATGGTGAATATTCTATCTTGTATTAAAATTGGAGGTCAACAAAATAAGGCAATCATTCAACGGGGCTTAAGAAAAGTCCACAGACAAACTGCTAACTGGGCCTTCTTTCTTACCTGCTTTCCCAAAGATGCTCTATCAGTGGTGAAATTGCTAAGAATTTAACAGGCGTTTTTTTCTTTAATTCTAGTAGAACTTTCCAGATCAGATACTCTAGTAAAAGGATATTTGTGGAAACTATGATGAAACTACTTAAAAAGAATCTGCAGCCTCTGGGGCAATGACCACCTTCGAGGTGTTGCGAATCATCAAGCTAATCATAAGCAAACTCTTCTAAATATATTCCAGGATTATTTTCAGGCATGAGGTATGTCTACATATTACATGGAGTTGGTTTATATTTAAAGTTGTAATTTCTAAGGGTATTAAGCACCATATTTATTTAAAGAATTTACTAAAATATATATATATTTACTGATACATACATATATATATTTATATATATATGTATTTCTCATGTACTGAAATTCTATTAGTGTGTTGGAGATTATAGGTACACTATGGAAGGTGTCTGATTACATAAAAGATTAGACATCTTTAGAATTTAAGACCACTGATGGCAAAGACCAATTCAAATTTATTAAATACTACTTGAAGAAAGAAGATAAGGTCCTATATACAGAATTTTTCTTCGGTTTTTACTATATATATAAATATATTTTTCTAACAACAATACCTAGAGATTTGAGTTACAAGTATGAATAGCTACCTAAATAAGCTCAAGTTGGAAAGATTATTTCTACATTTGGTGATGGTTATTCATATTATTTTGCCTGATTTCATCTGTTCACCCAGTTTTCAGCTCTTAAAAATCAAATTATGGGTTCTCAATAGTAATCAATTAAAAAGCCTTAGCTTTACATGATTTTGCTATCACCAAGTATGATTAGAACGATTGTAAATTTTCTTTGAACATAGAAATACAGTTACTGGAAAGAATTTATGATCTCCAGCAAAAACTTAAGTGAACAAGACATTAACTTTCTGAAAAAGATGGTGGTTGTATTCTATTTTTAATTGCTTTCATTAATAAGAAAATCACTGTTATACAGTTGTATTATTTATGGATTCATTAAATATTTTATCTAAATTATAGCAATTGCAAAAACAGGAAACTTGAAAAAGTGAAAGAATTATACATAATTCTACTTCTAAACACTGCCATTATGTATTTTTTTTTTAAAAAAAAACACCATCTATCATGACATTTTTAGAGACGAAAGA